AAGCATTTCAGCAATTGAAGAGCTACCTCTGTTCGGCACCTTTGCTCGCCAAGCCCATGCCGGGGGACAAGCTCCAATTGTACTTAGCAGTGTCTAACAGCGCCGTCAGCTCGGCCCTAATCAGGCAAGAGGAAGCGCGGCAAAACCCGGTCTACTACACAAGCAAGGCTATGACCGAAGCCGAGACCAGATACCCTCAAATGGAAAAGTTGGCTCTTGCTTTAGTCACCTCGGCCCGACGGCTTAGACCATACTTCCAAGCCCATACTGTGGTGGTGCTCACTAACTTGCCCCTAAAAAACATCTTCCATAAGCCAGAAGCTTCTGGACGCCTGATGAAGTGGGCAATGGAGCTAAGTGAGTACGACATCCAGTTCGAACCCAGAACTGCGTTGAAAGGACAAGCAGCGACAGATTTCATAGCCGAGCTCACACCACCTTCCGAGCTGAGCGAGTCCGACCTACCGTGGACAATCTATGTCGACGGATCCTCCAATGAGAAGGGGTGCGGGGCCGGGGTCCTCTTGCTCGTACCAACGACAAATTCACCGCAACGGTTATATTTTCCCACGAATAGGAAGTCGCCACGCGTCCAAAGCAAGTCGAATGAACTTATCTGCCAGGTCGAGAGCGGACCAGACAGAGAGGGGGCCAATGTTTGGGGAGAGAATACCCTGGACACGTGGAAGACCCCTATTGGTGCTCCAAGATGACTCATGAGTTATGCCCAGCTCGGACGCCCGAGATCACCACCGCTAGCGTTGACAAATGCTAAGTATGAGGGCCGAGGTGAACCTGGCCGAGGTTCGACCTACCGGGAAGCTCGGTGGGGGCCGATGTGAACTACTGTCAGCGGCGTGATTATCGGGTGTAACCGTCGGTCCCGAGATTACCGGGACTACCACCCATAAGTAGAGGACTTCACTCCACGATTAGGTACGATGATTTCTGACCTCGAACTAAACTGGGAATCTGACCTATACTGACTTGATCGTCGGAGTGCTCACCTTTTTGTGCAGGTCCGCCCTAGTATTCAGATCGGTCCAGAGGCCGAGTTCGAGCTGCAATATGAAATATACTGTTGTGCATATCCTTGCATAAACAAGTTCAATAAATAATATAACTTAAGAGAAGATGATAGGTGTCTTATTCACTTAAATATGTTCGAATTGGTGAAGTGATCACCTTCAGTCAAATACACTTGGTGAAATCTCATCATCAAATGATAAACTAGACTAATATTGAAAAATACGTTTGACGTATGTAAAATCATAAAGCTAAGGTTGTACATACACAATCTTTATTACACTTTCACCACCCAAACTAAAATTTATCAGGTATCTATTTCGATTGGTCGATAACTCCGAAAATCTTCCGAGAGGATATGGTTTTTATTAGTTGGAAAGGAGTTGATAAGGAAACACCATAATCAAGAGGTGCAAAAAATAGAAACCAATAGGGGGAAAATAGAGGTTGAATTGAGTGTGTATGATATTTTTGTTGTTAGAGAAAGTCCACGTTTATGAATTTTTTATCACTCTTTGTAATATTGTCACCAATTGTTTCAAGATAAGGCGCTTACCCATGCATAGGATAAGGATAATACATGCTATCTATCCCCTCTTTCTCTTGGAGTTTCTATCCAAACAAAATCTTTAATTATTTTTTTAATGCACTTGAATATTAAAAGTTTGCTTCAATTTTTAATTTATAGTAATTAAACTTAGTTTCAATCTCGCCATCATTACTTTGTCACACCTTACAAATTGTTTCTATTGTTACACGTCAGATGCCAATATTGAATATATTACATGTTTTATATTCATATGAAATGTGTTGGGGTTTTATTTTTTTGCTAGTGAGGTGTATTTAACTTTAGGGCTAAGTAAAAATTACAGGAAAAGTATGAGTGATGTTTTAAGTAAGCTAAATTAAATTGAAACTTTTATAAAGTCCCAATCATAAAAAGACCAAACTCATAATTTAACATTTTAATTGTATTTTTTTTGTTTTATTTTAGCATTAATTTATGATTATGTTTCAAATAATACATCTAACTAACATGAGAGACAAATATTAGAATCTAAGGCTTTTTTTTTTGGTTAGTTTGGTATATTAAGAACAAATTCTTTTCTAGAATTCGAACATCAGACTTCAAAGACATATATAACATTTTTATTGGTTGAACTATATATACATGTTACCATGAAGAACGATTTTTTAGTTGTAATATTAAAGTTATTTTGGAACTATTTATGAATCCTTAAAAGAATAATTTCAATTATTCTTAAAAAACAAGCTATACATGCGAAAACAAAGAAGAAACACATTTTTTTTTAGGAAACAAACATTTTTACTTTTATGATGATCTAAAAATGACCAAAAATGTTACTTTTCAACATGAGCATAGCTAAATGATATTAACATAAATGTTAAATCACATAATACCAAATTTTCTTAAAAAAGAAAACATTAAATCACTTAATCTTTTTTCAAAGGTAAGAGACAAATTAATTCGAAGCATGTATAGATTTTTTATTTTTATTTGTATTTTATTTTTTACTTTCAATCATTTCCCAAATTACTTGTCGTGTTTCACGTTTGAACGTGGATTTGAAGAGTTTTGATGAAGAATCTTTGTCATAAATAATTTTGATATTTTTCGGTATGAATCATTTTTATTCTCTCGTTCAAAATTTAAAGTATCATATTAATGCCATATGGTTCATATCTAATTTGTTTTAAGAATGTTAAGATCAATCATCATAATGAAAATTCAATTTATATTTGAGATATTGGATGACATATATGAAACTATGTGTAGTTACTACTTATATACGTTATGTAAGTAATTTTGTAATAGAATGTATGAAGGAAGAAAATTAATAGGTTTAGTATCTGATATTTTTTCTAATCCATATGAAAAATAAGCTAAAAGTATAAAAAGATTGTATTTAATTACGATCTTATAACTTATAAGAGAAAAAATAAAAATCAAACATCATCTCATTCAACTCACGAAGATTAAAAATCTTTTAATTTATAATCGAATATAAGTGTAGCTCAACGATAATTAAATTTCCTCCTCTGTTTGTTGTACTAACATGAATATAACTAAGACCCGATCGGAGAGAATTAAAGAAAAAGAAAATTGAGAATTAAGGTTAAGCATAAAAATAACGTGGGAAGATTACCAGTGGGTCACGCTGAAATTGGCGGCAAGATAACCGGCAGCGGTCCGACCAAAGCCGCGGCTAAGACGACACGTGATCCGCCGCGTCAGACTCAGTGGTCCCCAGTAAACAAACTCGCCCAATATCTTCTCCTTCTCCTTCTCGCCGTCAATGAAAATGAAAATGGAATTACAAAACCTAAAAAGCTCCACTCTCCCACTGCCCATGGAAAATCAAAATTGATGGTCAAACGCAACAACAAAATAACAACAAAATTTCTAATTTCACCGTCCTTCTCCCCCAATCCATTTTGGCAGCGGCTCATTCACTGCCCTTTCCTTCCCTTTTTCTGCTCTCTCCCTTCCTTGGCTATAACTTTTTTCTGGGCTCTTCTTCAACTCTGCGGATTCTTTTTTTTTTTTCACCCATGGACGACGAGTATGATAAACTTATCAGGAGGCTGAACCCACCCAGGTACTCTTCTTTCCTATTCTTCGGGTTTTCTGTAATTCTCGAACCGGATTTTCTTCTCTCTCGTTTTACGTTACCACTGGTGGTGTTTCTACTGGGGATCTGTAGGATTAGCTCTTTTCCATTTTTCTTGGTTGAAATTCTGATGTTTCCATTTTGGTTGACTTGTTGGAAGAATATAAATAATAATCTAAAGCAGAAGTGGTTTACTTCTTTTTGCAATCTATTGAATCAAACTGAAGTGAATGAACTCATGGTTCATGATTTCAATGGCTGTAGACCCTACTGTTTCACTTCAGAAAGTAATTTCTCCTCTTCCTTTTTTTCCATCTAATATGTTTTATCAAATCTGTCACTGCAGAGTTGTGATTGACAATAACGCTTGTAAGGATGCTACAGTGATTGAGGTGCTTTACTGCCCTGTGATTATTTTTTTCCTTTTTGATCAATCATAAGCTAAAATTGCTCAATCCTTCTACTCCTTAGGTTGACAGCATGAACAAACATGGGATTCTCTTGAAAGTTGTGCAGGTCCTTATGGATATGAACCTAATAATTACTAAAGCCTTTATCTCCTCTGATGGAGGCTGGTTCATGGATGGTAAGTAATTCTGGCTCTTCAATTATTTTGAATCTGAAAAAGTTTAACCACTCATGGCCTGAGGATACTTTGTTTTCCAGTTTTTAACGTTACCACGCATGATGGAAACAAAATAAGAGATCCAGAAGTGATAAACGCCATTCAAATGGTAAAACCCTTTTCCGTCAACTCTATTTTATCTGTTTTGACCTCTAAACTTTCACATATCTTTTTTTGTTTTAATAACTTGACTTTGAAATATTGAAATATTTAGTTTTAGTTCTCCAATCTTGCATAATCTGTGCTGATGCCTTAACCTATTTACATTTTTTTTCTTCCATTTATTTGATAATTAGATATTGATTTGAGCTCGTGATGTAGTAAATTAGATGTCTCTAGATTGAGATGATAAACTAACAAGGACTAAGATAGTTTTTAATACGAAATTGAGGGGTTAGAACAGGAAATACCAAACAAAATAACTTCGGAACCATAAATCAAAGGTTCCATCTTTTATGAAGGTTGTTATGATGGGTCTATTAATTACACTATGCAGAGGCTTGAAGTTGATGCGAGTTTCGTGCCATCAATGAGAGACTCCGTTGGTGTGATGCCCTCGGAAGATCACACCTCAATCGAGCTGTCTGGTACTGACAGGCCTGGTTTATTGTCTGAAGTTTGTGCTGTTCTTGCGGACCTTCACTGTAATGTAGTAAATGCTGATGTTTGGACACACAATAATAGGGCTGCAGCTGTAGTTCATGTGACAGATGATGCTACTGGCTGCGCAGTCAAAGATCCACAGCGACTCTTAACAATCAAGAAGTTACTCTGCAATGTTCTCAGAGGGAATGGGGAGTTGAAGGAAGCCAAAATGACCCTGTCTCCTCCTGGGGTCACCAGCACAGACAGAAGGTTGCATCAGATCATGCTGGCTGATAGAGATTATGAAAGGGCCGGCAAAGCCAGGCTTGGGGTTGAAGATAACAACTTGAGACCCCGTGTTACTGCAGTGAATTGCACTGAGAAGGATTATACTGTGATTATTACTCGGTCGAGAGATCGGCCTAAGCTGCTGTTTGATGTTATTTGCACTTTGACAGACATGGAATATGTTGTCTTCCATGGAATGGTCCACACTGGGAGGGTGGAGGCTCATCTGGTAATTTTAAAACCTTAATCCGTTGAGAACATTCTAACAGTTTAAGCTTTTTGGTCTAGTCGTGATTTAAAGGAAAGTAACTACTTTTTTCAGGAATTTTATATAAGACATAAGGATGGGCTGCCGATTAGCTCCGAAGCGGAAAGAGATCGAGTATTGCATTGCCTTGAAGCAGCCATTGAAAGGAGGGAGTCTGAGGTACGGGAGAATTCTTGATTTTTTTATTTTTATTTTTTATTTCTTTCTTGTTTAAAGGTAAAGTATATGCAATATAATGTCGTTTATCCTTTGCAGGGGCTTAAACTTGAACTGTTTGCAGAAGACCGAGTTGGGCTTCTCTCAGACATCACAAGAATATTCAGGGAGAATAGCCTCCGTATCAGGAGAGCAGAAATCTCCACAAAATGCGGAAAAGCAAACGACATTTTCTATGTCACGGACATGACAGGAACCACCATTGATGTTAAGATTGTTGAGTCCATTCGCAAACAGATCGGTGATGCCATGCTGCAGGTGAAACACAACTTGTGTCACTCCCAAACACCCCCAAAGGAGACGACGACAACAGGATTTTTCTTGGGAAACTTATTCAAAGCAAGATCCTACTCTTAAGCAGCCTGCCCTGCCCTGCCCTTGTGTGTAAATATTCGTTCACAAGTAAAAACCATGCACAGATACATATATAGGAACCCTTCCCCCAACCCTTCCTTCACCCTCATATAAATGGGGGTTTGGTATATCTGCTCATATTGTAGCTAATAAACCCAGAAACCAACCACCTTCTGATGTATGTATATAGTTGTCTTTTCAGAAAATGGTGTACAGAACAGTGTAGTGTGTGGTTAATGCTCTTTCTACAAAATTGTAGAAGACTGTAAAGCTATAATTATTGGCCTCAATTGAAGTGGATGAAGAAAATGGTCTGCTTATTGCATGTCAAAGTCACGTGCTTCTCAGTTACTTTAGATTCATGGATGACAGTCTTGTGCCTTCAATGTTAGGTAATTCATTATTTCATTTGCACCATTCTGCAACATACAGCACGATCCAAGGTACGGGTATTTAATAAGTACCAATCTCTCTCTCTCTCTCTCATTAAAGAAACAAATTTCACCATTTTGTGTGGCATGGAACAACCGGTACCAGCCTTGATTCACGTAGGACTGCATCTAATGAAGGTGTTTCTAATATCATTCATCATAGCTGAAGTGGGATAGTTCTTGTATTGTTTGAAGAATCTGTAAAATTGGGTCTGCTCTTGAGGAAGAAGGAAGGAATGTTAAGAGTTCAGTGGATATAACAGACAACTTTGAGGGAGAGGTTTCTCGAACCCACTCTATATGTTGCTTAGCGAGTTGAATCTCTCCAGCATCAGCAAAACCTTTCAGCAAAATTACATGGGAGTCTGGATGAGCAATATCATTTGTGAGACCACGGAGTAACTTGGAAGCAGCAAGAAAATGACCTGCATTGTTTGGAACCCCAGTTATATAAAGCTCCATGTGCATAAAATTAGTGTTAAAGAATGACAAAAATGAATACCAAACAGACTCTAAACAAGAAGAAGAGGCAAAGATGTCAGACTTGGACACTGCTAATTTGAAAGAGTTGTTCAGCCAAGAAGGGTAGTGAAGAAGATGATCCAAAAAGAGAGCGATTTGGTCGATAGAGAAGCGAGGATTTGGAAGAGAGGGTCGATCTAGGGTCAACCATGGCGGTGATAGCTCAAAATGAGTCTCTAGGTAACAAAGGTGCGAAGGGTGCATCAAGGAGATAGCCTGCAAAGTTAGTGATTTGGTCAATAGATGCAAGGATATGGAAGAGAGGTTTGATATAAGGTCAACTATGGCAGTTACCGGGGGATCTAAGAAACAACGAGCAAACCGGAAGCACATAAATAAATTCAGAAGACAGGAATGAGTATCAAACATATAACCATGGAAAAGAACTTACCTGCTCTACACAAGCACAAGATAAAAGTGTTCAGCAAGGTTCCGGCAAGATTTGCATCCTGTTCAACAGACTTGCTAAAGACTTCAAAAGCAGCTTCTAGTTGTGATTCCTGACAGAGCCCTTGAAGCAGGGACGTGTAGGTTGTAATGTCCGGTTCAACCTTTTTTCCAAGCATATGATGGTAAAGTGTCAAAGCTTCCGCGATCTGATTGGATTTTGAAAACTTTTGAATAAGGATATTATATGTCTTTAAATTACCGCCACAGCCACTAGCAAACATCTCATCCCATAGCTTCCTAGCGGGCCGAAGTAGATCTTCTCTACAACATGCTTCTAGGACACAGTTGTAAAAAGATACATCGAGGGCAAATCCCTTTTTCTTCATCTCCTGCAAGACACCATAGGCCTCTTTCACCATCCCAGCCTTGCATAGGAATGAAGTCCTCAAATGGTATCTATCAAAATCATTGAAGTAGTTATGCATACCCAGAACTTGGAAAACTTCCAACAGTTCATCAATCTTTCCATGCTTACATAAATTCCTACTCAGATTTCTTAAAGTCAAGAGAGTTGGGAATCTCTCTTTCTCGACCATGAACTTGAAGAACATAATAGCACAATGAGGATCAATGGCAGCAACAGACCCTATCAGTACATTAGAAACATCTTCATCCAGCGGAAAATTTCCTCTGATTATAACTTCACCCAACTCTTTAGCTTCACATATTCGTCTCCCAGCTATTAAAGCAAATAAGAACTCCTTATAATCATTAAGCCTTGGAGCTACCCCCAGCTTTCTCTTCTTCTTCAGGATTTTCTCCCTTTCGGCCACACTCCCTGCTGACTGAAATGCTTCTGCAATAATCCAATACGCCAAAAAGTCAGGCTTGCAATCTCTATTCTTAAGTTCATCCACAACATTTGAAGCCTCTGAAACTCTAGATGCCCCGCAGAGCCCATGAATGATCAATGTGGCAATAATAGAACCGTTGATCTCTCGATTGTTAGTCCTGGCATCATCTAGCATGGTCAAAACTTTAACTATATCAGCATTTCTACAAACCCTCCATATAAACACACCAAATCCAAGAGTGTCAAAAGGAATGCATTTAATAGACATTTCATCGAACACTTTTTGGGCGTGCTCAAAGAACCCATCAGAAGCAAGAGCAGCCAAAAGCGAGTTACATGGTTCGGATCCAATAGTGTTGGTAATTGAAGTAACCTCATTAAAAACCAAAAAAGCATCGTGGGTCTTCTTGCCTACGATCAACGAATCAATGACAGAGCGATAAACTGATAAATGGAGGCCAATTTTCTGAGTTCTTACCTGTTTTAAGAGACTATGGATGGCCCCATATTGGCGCGAGAAAGAGAGACACTTAAGAACCGACTTGTAGGATTCCGAATTGTGGGCGAAACCGGGTTGCTGAGAAGCCCAATTGAAGAAGCCGAGAGCGAGGGAGTGATGAGTGAGAAGGTGCGGGTCGATTACTTGAGATACGAGAGATGGATTTAGCGTTTGGCGGAAACCGAGTCGATGCAAATTCTGCTCCAGTGAAGGCGTCCATGCTCCAGCGGAAAGCATAGCTCTGCTGACTCGAGTAGCCAATTTAGGTACATGGGGTTCCATGTCAAATCAGCGCGGAAGTCAACAGCTTTCGTCTCTGCGTCAGTTCTCTCCCTCGAATCGTCTCCTTCTCCCCTTAGTTGGGAGTAATTGATGATGTGGGACTGAAAGATATGGAGCCAAACGGAAAAAAAAATGATCCTTTTCAAGCCAGAGATGAATCAATTCTGACATGAAGCAGCCTGACAACCCATTTTGAACCTTGATAGAACCAAAAGCATTTTGATATGAACTGCTGATGTGGTCGGAAGGGGAGAGGGAAAAAATAGCAAGGAATGAGTAAACAAAATTTTTAATTTACGAGAAATGAAAAATTATAAAATTTTATTGGTACACCCCTACAATTTAACGAAAAATTTTAATTTCAAACTACATTAATTCAAGTTAAGATTAAATCATTTAGTAACTCACAAATAATAATAACAATACTACTAATAATAATATATTTTAAAATATTAATTATATAGAATGACGAAAGAAAGCAAATTCATTTTTTTCCTTCCTTTTTCCTTTTTTATTTCCGATATTGGAGAGCTCAAATCTGATTTTTATATCAACGTCTGTATCAATATTCTAAGATAGATGTCTTAACCATTTGAGCTATGCTCGATTTAGCAGCTGTTCCAGAAAGTTAAACTTTAGTGTCATATCATTTTAAATTATATTGAATTCGAGCTATTTGAAATGAAAATATAAAAAAAAAAAGAAGGAAATATTTGGAGAAAAAAAATATGATTTTAAATTCTAAATTTTATGTAAGCAAACAACAGAAATGAAATCCAAGTTCCCAATTACCCCTGTAGGCTGTAGATTCATGGGCGATCTCTGTTGGTGAAGTTGAAGTTGGGAATCCGAGACCATCCCTGTTTGATTTGATTTGATTGAGGTATTGGCTGCCTCTGTAGTGTATTGTAGCGTATAGTATCTCTGTTCGTTACTTCTAAATAGAAAAGAAAAAAGCATCTGTGTTCGTTGACGCTTCCGCAGTTTCCTTAACTTGAAGCCATCACAACCAATTCTGTGTTAGAAGGTGGCCGCACCGGGACGCCATGGCTAGCCGGAACGTTGTCGTCTGCGACAATGGCACTGGGGTATCTCCTCCTTCCTTCTATAATTGCTGCAACCTATTGATTTCATCACCCTCTACTTGAACTTACACACCCCTCTCCAAATCTGCCCAATGTTTCATATACTTTTTTTCTTTTTGAAAGTGCCCTGCTTCGGTTCTCTAAAACTAGATCCTTGATTAATCGCAGTACGTGAAATGTGGATTTGCGGGAGAGAATTTTCCCACTTCTGTATTTCCATGTGTGGTGGGAAGGCCACTGCTTCGCTATGAGGAATCGCTCATCGAACAAGAGTTGAAGGTTCGTAATCTCCCTGTGTAAGATTAACATTTTGCCACTAAAATTTTTACTCCACAAATATCAGTTTATGAAAGGTAGTTTGTTTATGGTAAGAAAATTTCAACTTTTGGTCCGTTCGATAGGGCATATTCTACTCTATAGAGCCAGAAGAAACCACTGTCTCCATGGTTAAAGGGTGACTTATATTTTTATATCCTGAGTGCCGTAAAATTTGGGTAGATATGTTCATTTCTCATGTAGAGATGATCTATTATGACCGAGCAAATTCAAATTTTGGTGTAACGAAAATATTTTCAGTCTGGATATCGCATCTTCATGGAAAATCATCCTGAAACTGTTATTTGAATATTCACTCTCAAGTCTTCTGTCTGAATTACTTTAGGACATTGTTGTTGGAGAAAGCTGTGCAGATCTGCGTCATCAACTTGATATAACTTATCCAGTTCACAATGGTATTGTACAAAATTGGGATGATATGTGTCATGTATGGGACCATGCATTTTTCAACGAACTTAAGGCAAGGAT